GCTAACCCGGACGTTAGCCACTTGGCTGATGGTAGGGGAACTGCCCATTGGTCCGACAGCCCATTGGTCTGACAACCCATTGTTCCGACCATATTAAACTCATTGTTCCGAAGTCCCGTTGTTCCGAAATCATCATGATACCCTGTGGTTAAGGTCTGGTTAGGTTTAGGCACAAAAACCACTTGGTTAGGGTTAGGAAAAGATCATGGTGTGGGTTAAAATGAAAAAGAAAGTGACAAACACATAAGATGTGAGCCTGCTTCACCTCAAGCCTTTCCCAGCTGACCCAGAGCTGGTCGCGGCGCACCATCAAGGCAGAAATACGCCCGCCGAGAGCCGTTCAGCACCGCAGACAGTCGGACTAATGGGATGTTGGACCAATGGGCTGTCGGACCAATGACATGGACCCGATGGTAGTTAGCCATTTGGCTCGCACAAGTCTGTAATACACTTACTCTGGGCCCCACAGTGCAGAAGATCCAGGTAATTTTATACCCAGGAAGTCAAACTTTTTTGGCTTCATGCACCACTATGTAACTTAAATAGGAAAGAACTGGGCCCTGAACACTGTATCCACTTGTCTTTATACATCCATAGTCAGTTCTCTGTTCCTTCATAGATCAGCACCATCAAGGCAGTTTGCTATTGGTTGATAGATCGTATTTGAGTGTCAGAATTCATCAAAGTTGCAACCAATTTACGTGGGTACAAATCCACTGATCGCAGCGATCTCATGTATGTATGTATGTATGTATGTATGTATGTATGTATGTATGTATGCACTAAGTAAATCAGTGTATGGAGCACAGTGGTTTCATAATCTTATGTGTGTTTCACTGATGCTCATATCCGACTGCTCTTAGAAAAATCTTTTGCAAAGGCATGTCAGTCAAACCCAAAACTTGCCAACACACACACACACACACACACACACACAAACAACCACCCCAAAACAAACCTCTGTCTGGCCAACACACACACACACACACACACACACACACACACACACACACACACACACAATTAGCCCAGCTCATTATGTCTGCTTTAGCTCTTTTGGATTGTGTTGTGGGGGTTGGGGTTGCGGCAGGGTGGGGTTTGGTGACCCTGGAGAGCTTGACCTGAGGGGACATTAGGGGAGTTACGGGGTGAAGACAGGGGGGGATGGGACGTGGACATGCAGGGAGGGAAAGTAACTCATTACTTTGTGGTGCTCCTGCTGGTTGTGTTCTCTCCTGTGAAGATCCCCATTGATTTTATAAGTGAAAAACACACTGATTAGTCATCACTATTGAACTGCATGAGTTTAGAACAATTGCTTTTCAATTGATAATGTGATGAATTTCAAGTAAAACAAAGCTCATTATAATTTAAAAAGCTCAATCTTGTCTTTTGCATCCTGCAATTAATGACAATCAGTAAACAAATATTGTGTCCATCTGGAGTTAGATGTCATTTAAATCAATGGTTAACTTCGTTTTTTATACACAGGCCTGTAAACACAGTGGTGGAGGAGGGGAATATGAGTTTCCCTCCGCATCCCTGAGTTGCTCAGTCACAAGAGTTTTGATTTCCCTCCAAAAACTCTTTTGTAAAACTTCTCCCCCGCCACTTATACAAGCTACAACTCAGCCGCCTCCACCCCCAGCCGTCACACATCAATCCATGGTGTGTGTGTTTTGGGAAGTGGGGGTGTCTCAGCCAGTGTGCTGTCAGCCCCCCAGGGTGTAAAAGCTTTTTGGACTAACACTGTAAGTTTAAAAAACAAACTCTTTGATTTGAGTTTACTTAAGCTTTTTTTAGGCATCAAAATAACAGATGCAGAGAAAGACACTGAAAATCATTTGCATCTGGTCTGAGAAAAAGTCAAATCTATCTACTGCATAAAGTTGTGTAAGGCACATGTGCAGTTTTAGTTGTTGCAGATCACAATATCTCATCATTTGCACAGGATTTTGTTTATTTGCATCTTTAAACTGCACTTTAAAATGTGAGCACAAGACATTCAGCTCTCCTGAACAATCCACATTTTGTTGTCTCCCTGTTTGTGTGTATGTGTGTGCAGGGTCTGAATAAGATGAGTTATTCCTCCCCCCATTGTCAGGAAGCTTAATCAGGGCTGCAGAGGTGTGTGGGTGACCTCTGACCCTCGGGTATCTCTGGCCTTTTTCTTACTCGCCTTTGCGTTTGCATCAGGATGTCCCTCATTTAACTCTTAACCTAAGGAGTCAGCTTTAGCAACTGGTGGTTCAGAGTTGAAGCATGCACACATAAAGGCACATTTACACAGTCAGTTGTTCACTATAAATGATTACCAAACACTTCTAACCACTAACAGACTAAAGTGATAACAAGTTACACATAACATTCATTCCTGCTGCTGTAAACAAGTAGCCTTTCTGTGCACTTTTTGGAGTATACTTTAGAGCCAATAACTTTTTTTATTTATATAAACTTTTACTAAGGAATGGCACTAAAGGGAATACTTTAAACACATGTGCGCATTTGTTATGTTGAATTTGTGAAGAAAACTTGTTTTTCTCGCATGCCTCAGCAGTGAACAAAGATTCCAAAAATGGATAAAATGCTTGATCAACTGCAGTAAAAATGGTCTCCATTTCACAGCAGTAAAACTATCTCAAACATCTGTTTACACAGCTCGTGCAGTATGAGGTCTCATTTATCCAATCGTATGCTCAGTACTTCTCAAATACATGCATTTTTGCTAAAACATTGTGTTGTTTGATGTGTGTGACGTGCTACAAACCCGAGTTATGGTGGCCTCTGCTTCTTTTCTAGCACTCCAATGATGCAGTGAAGCATCAACCAGTGGTATGCTTTGTTTCTGGCTGTGGTACTGTGGTAATTAGCTTAGTTAGCTGGAGCTATGCTAGCTTTCTGTACACTGTGTTGTACAAAGGGACACAATGGGGCTGCAAAATGTGATGTAAAATTTGGCTCAGACATTGATAAACTGCTGAGATATATATTTGACTAAATACAAACTTGATGACATTCAGCTGAGGTGTTCTGTTGCAAGTAGCAGAGACACAAGCTCGTGGTGACATAAGTACATTAACAAGCACTGTTGTGTTGTCGCATACTGAGCATACGACTGGATACAGGGTTGGACTGGGAACAAAATTCGGCCCTGCATTTTTCCTTTAGACCGGCCCACAGCTACCATAAACACAGGTTTTCAATGCAGGTACATTCAATAAATGCCAACACAGTGTACAAACTAAGGTAGCCTATATATTCACCTGCATTTCAACAGGATATACAGTACACCACAATACTGTAACTAGTTTCACATGCATCACTTGTAACGATGTAACTCTCTCCCCCTCTGGTGGTGCCGGCAGACTTTTGTGATCATTATCACTGCTGCTAACGTTAACGTTTCCACACTGTTGACATTTACATGTTAAACCTTAAAACACCTTGCAGTATCAGCCTCAAGTAGTTTTTTTTCCTGCGACCATCTGTGCTCCACCTGTTTGTTGTTTGGCTGTGTTGTCCATCTTATATGTAGCCTATTTTTATTTCAATTGCCCTGCTCTTTCTGCCTCGATTTCATTTATTTTCTGCTTCTACTATTTATTATCTCCTGCTTGACCTCTGACATTACACGATGGACCGATTCATTTGAAGGGGTGTGGGGAGGTGACAACAGCCGTTACTGCTCCACCTGCCCAACAGTATAGGTAGGGTATTGACAGTTTCGGGGCCGTGTAACCTCTAATCAGGTAGGATGTTCCTTTTTCCCCCTACAGTATTTTTTTTCCAACATTGCATGTGGTGGCCTTGGGACCCACAAGATGGGCCGGCCCATCTGGTCAGTCCAACCCTGACTGGTCTAAATGAGACTCAGATTTTATTGCAAGAGTTGTATAAGAGTTTGTAAACACATGTTTTGGTATAGTTTTGCTGTTGTTGAACGCAGCCCCCTTTTACTCCAATTTATCAAGTATTTTCTCAGTTTTTGAATTCTTCGTTCACGGTGGAGGCATTCAAGAAACATTTTTTTTTTTTTCATGAATTCAATCTATTGGGGACTTAACTTGTTAATGAGCATTGCAAAATAGATATCTGTAAGGTAATTCGCAGTGGATAAGCAGCTCGAAATGAAAAATAAAATCTCACTGATGCATTTAATTTTGTCATTTCCATTTTTTCACTCAAAAAAAAAAAAAAAACACTTTCTCTCATCCTTCTGAAGTCATTATGATCACATCCAGCAATGTTCCTATTCCACAATGTAACTCAGTAAGTTTGGCACTTTGGTCAAATTAGTTAGGTTTACTTAGAACATATACGTATATTGTTAATGAAGACTGTGTATAATGTGCACCCTGTATGAGAACAGAGAGCAGCCTTTATTAGTTGATGGATGTTAAAGTTTTAGTTTGTGTCTGTGCTCTGGCACAAGAGCAGATTACGGGGCTGAGTGAGTGAATTTAAAGAGGGAAATTGTGATTGACAGCTGGACATGTGTGCATTTGAGTGTCACAGTGAGATGGTTAATTACAGATTAAGTGGGCTGACGTGTGTGAATCGTGTAGAAAGCCTTGTAAAACATTGCACACTCTAAAAAAATCTAATAATCAATGACATAAATGGTTTATACTGACATTATGACAACATAAGCACACGTCTGACTCTCCAGTAATCATAATGCACCTGCAAGCTTCCTTTCATCACATTAAAAGAAGCTGTTTAATCAGCTGAGATGTAAATTGAAACAATAATTTCCTGCATTTCCATCTTCTTTCAGCTCAAACAGTGGAACTATTCTTTTACCTTTGTGTACATGTTGCATTCAGACCCACTCGAACAAACTGCATTAAGTCTATGAGCCTTTCCCCTTCCCAAAATGAGCAAACCCACCAGACAAAGGACCACCATTGTGGCTAAATACTGCTTTTGTTTTAGGCATTTGAACCTGAGGTTTCCCTTAACGCTAAGGAGAGTGTGTTCGCCCTTTTTCTTCTTTTCAGACGCTTTGGCGCTGAATAAAAAAACCACTGCCAAATGGGAAAACGACTACACAGGCAGAAAGAAAGACCAGAATCAATCAGGAAGTGGCTGCTTTTCAGCGGTGCCAGAGGAGCCGGGCAACTTCCTGGTCTCGTTGCCAAGGTGACTGGAAGCTCAGCCAGCTGGTGCAGCGGGCAGCAGTTGGGTTTAATGGGGGGGATGGTGGAGGATGACGGTTGGGATGTTGGACAGTGGGCAGAGAGATGGTGAGTGGGGGTGAGGCAGTTTAAATGTAAACACCGAGCACTTCAAACCGCATCCATCTGAATCATCACAATGTGGAGTTTCTGTTCTGTTTATAAGCCTCTGCAAACAGTCATTTAATCCGTCCAATTACTCCCAGCTTCTGCTACGCTGGCTTGTTCACACAATATCATGTTGGAGAATTCTGTATAATCTATAACTTTTTTTTTTCATGGCAGACAAATGCACTGATATTATATGGAAGACTGATTTTTTTCTCTTAGGAACATGATCTTAAAAGATAGCAAATATGGTTTAATACTTCAGAAATAATCACATAAAAGCAAGAGAAGCAGGTTGTGTAAAGATGATTTGGGCTTTTACTGGGCAAACTTAAACTTCACTCATATTAACAATTAAAGATGTTGTTGAGATGTCAAGTATGGATTTTGGGTCAGTCAAACCAATATGGCATCCCTCTCATTACTATTAAGAGACATTTTTGTCCAATAAAAGGAAAAAAATCTGTATGGAGCTGAAAAATGCATATTTGAGCCTTATAATGAAGGTATCTAAATTAGCCTATCAACATGACTAATGGCTCCAAACGAGCTTTATTAATATCTTTTACCACAAGGTGGCTCCTCTGCAGTGGGCTACTCATGATTATTTGCTATTTTTACTTTGCAGTGTTGGTGGTAGAACAAACATCTGTCTGCACACTATTAAATTATCTGTTTTCCTCTTTTGGATTTGGAATCCATAGTTTTATCTAAAGAAATGTTAAAACATTGTTTTAATTGGTGTTTAGGCTACACAATTTTACAGTTGGAGAATGTAAAATCACTTTAGGCCTAAAACAATAATGTATGAAAATAAAAATGTTAAAAAAAATACAGTTATTTATGTCCTTTTTGTTTTATTGGACAAACCCATAGGGAGCCACTGTAGAGGAGATAAAGAGCCACATATGTCACCGGAGCCACAGGTTGCCTTCCCCTGCTCTATATGATGATGTGTTTTTCTTGAGCACAAATTAAACCAGGACTAAATTATAATTGTTTCATACATGATTGCATGATGGGAAATTTTTAGCGCAGAAAAAAAATGTGCAAGAATATATTTTGTAACAAGACAGAATGTGAACAATGTGTCAATGTTACATTGATTGACAGAGGTGTTTATATCATAGGTATAGATTTGAGGGGGATTGTAGGTGACACGTCCCCTCAAAATATTAAGAACATTTGCATTTGTCCCCTCCAATAAATATATAAAGTACTGGAAGACTTTTATTTTGATGAAATTAAAGACATTTTTGACATAAATTGATGCATAAAAGGCAAAAACGTATGCATAGGATTACTCCAAACACCCTGTTTCATATATGTCATATATGTCCCCCTCAGTGTTGAGACAAAACCTATGCTTGTGGTTATTATCATGCACTTGTGTGGCTTATAGCAAACATGCAAATACAGTTATTGCTCCAATTAGTCTTTGCATTATAGTATTTTATCAACCAAATATAACTTGTGCACAAGTGGGATATTTTGACACATGAAAATTCACTCAGAATTAAGACACAAACAAAACGCCTTCAACCACATTCAGTGTGTTCAGTCCACCCAGCCAAACTAAAGATAACAGGCCTACAATAATCCCACATTAATGAAGGTTATGATGTTATGTTTTTGCTGAAACTGTTGATAGGGGTATCATGTCCTCCATCTTTATGTCAGTGAGGGTAGACTTTGAGGTGTTGTTACCTTTAAATTAGTGGGCATTCATTTGTAATTGTCGATCCGTACTTTTTAATTGTAGAAAAGCAAAGAAGTTAAGTTTAAGAAAGGAGAACAGAGATTGTGTGCCGTTTAATAAATACTTGGTAAAAACTTGTGTCCTTGATTACAATATACTGCAGCATTAAAGTGTTTATCCTCATCTGCCTTGTCTCTGGGCTAAAAACCCCGCTTCTTCAGAGATGGGACTGGCGGGCTGGCTGGGTAGGTGGGTGTTCTGAGGGATCAGGGGACCAGACTGGTGGGGATAGGTAAACACAGCTGGGGACACACTGCTCTGGTGGGTCTGCGGCTCAACAGCCCCCTTCACACATTTATCAGTGTGTTTGCTCAGGGGATGTGCCCTAATCTTCACACGCTGATCTCTGTGCCGAGCCTTCCCAGAGGCCCCGACAGGCTACGGATGAAAGTGACCCCGTGCACAGTCACAGCCTCGCTAATTCCTCCATGGCTAAACTTGAATGTTATTCTCTTTATAAAGGCCTATAAAGGTCATCTATGGATCTGTGTGTGCGTGTGTGGTTAAATCTCTCTGTGGGTGGGATGGCCCTGATAATACATACTAAATTCTTGGTCATAATCTGGCCTTTTTTCTTTCTGAATATGCCACCTACAAATGAATAGACCATTGTCATGAGGTCTCAGAGTTTACCCGCCAAAAAAATTAGCAATGACATATAAAAAAATTTGAATATTTTGGAACTTGTTGCTGTTATTATCCTCACTTAGGAGTCACAATTTTCAGTCACAGGTGGCTGTAAGTGGGTTGCATTAATGTTAATGTTCTCCCCAGTGTTCAGGTTGTTTTTGATTATTGAATTGGTTACTGCTTGAGGGCTTCAAGTGCTTCAAACCTCTCCAACACTTCTCTATCTGTATATTCTAGCAGAAGCTTCGCTGTGAACATTGGGTTTGGATAAAACTTTGATTATAGAGCGCCATCTACTGGTGATTATTTTGTGTTGTGGTGCACAACTCCTGTTAGGGGAATAGATGCTGTAAATTATGGACAGTATAGGCTGTGACACAACCTGTAAAGATATAGTAGCCTTTAAAGAGCAGGTTAAGGATTTTTTTTTCATTTTTAAGTTTGTTCTCATGGGGGAATCATCATCAAATCAAAATGTTTTCAAAATAGAACTTTTTTTTTTTTTTTTTACACATTTTGTGCTCAATCAAGGGCACTGACATTCATTATATGTTTGATTTATTACTTTATTACTTTAATTTTCCTGTCAGAAATTGAGAGGAAACAACCACATCTTTCTTTTAATTTTTCTTACACTTATTTGAAACCAAAAGGATCATAGAAATATTACATATTAAAAATGGCCTTTTATGTGTGGTTTTTGTGACATTTCTTTTGTTCCTGAGCCAGATTTGTGGACAGTAAATACTGCTTAATTATGAATTAAATATGTATCTAATATTATTTTCAAATACAAATGACACATAAATACTCATTTTAATGAAATGCATTGTGTTTTAAGATATATTTTTATTTTTTACAGTTTGTATATGGTGAAGTCCAGTGATTTGTGACGTCATCAGGTGAAATGGAACATAAAGTTTTACATATTGGGCTCTTTAAATATTAGAACATTACAACAAACATGTTATTGCATTGCTAAAATGTGTTTTACAATAAACAATCATTGCCAGTGGTCTGAAATAAAAAATTTTTTAAAAAAATCACTGGTCCCAAAACTTGCAAGGTAAGCTATGTGGCATGTTGATTTTTTCTACCAAAAGTGTCACACACTACCTGACTTCACCCTATTTGCTGACCACAGCAATACTCATGCAGCAGGTGAGCACATGACTGGAGGACAGTAAGCTTCATGGAGGGACACAAGTACTCTGCAAAAAACTGTTACATACAGAGCCATGATCAAGTCAAGTGGAGTGATCTGCCAGCAAATATTGTCTTACAGAATAGTAATGAAAGATTCCAAGTTTTGCTGAAACATCATCTTTGAATACACTAGAAAATATGTATCTGTAAATCTGGTGATCTACTTTGAATGACTTTAAACCCTTTGTTTCCCTTGGAATTACATGTGAGAAAGCACATGATAGTTATTAGTTAAGGAGGCCTTTGAACAAATTATTTATGTCACTTATAAATTACTATTGATTTTGTACTTGGCTGAATTTCTGTTGAGAGGATGATAATATTATTTCTCTTCAGTATGCATATGATTTATTCAATGAGATGAGCTGTTTTTGTTTTTGTTGTTGTGTGTATAAATGTGTATGATTGTATGTGTTGTGGACCCCAGGAAGAATAGCCAAAGTGCATACTGGTGCTAACAGGGATCCTAAAGAAAGAAGGAAAGAAAGAAAGGACACTTTTGGTGGCTGTCATTTCCAAACAGCTGTGAATGTACAAATAATAAGACAAAACTGCATTTTCTGTTGTGTTTTTTGTGTAGCCTATATTTAATGCCAACGTAAAAACAGACATTAGCAACATGTCATGAGATTCTTTTTTCTTTTAGTCGTTCCCATCGCTTTTTAAATTGTGGCAGAAAGATGCATGGTAATGGAAATGATAATACCAGTATTATATTACTGAAAATATTGTATTAAAAACATTGTGTATTGTAATATTGATTTTTTTTAATAATGATAATAATTTTTAAAAATCAAGTATAAAAATAGCCCACACTTAAAGAATCATCCTAACATTTCCTTGCGGGGAAAAAAAAATTCTATGGAAGGTGGCAATTTTCCGGGTTTTTGCTTTTTTCTGTCGAGAGGAAAAAACGTCCTTTCGGCTTCCGTCTACGTCGCGTAAGCGCTTGACGTCAGCATAACAACAACCTGTCATGACAGCTTGTATGGGGGAAAAAATATCGATTAAGATATCAAATCATACAAAGTCTGTTTCACCTGGATGTAACATTCCTTCCATAAGGTAAGAAGTGTTAACTTCAGATCTAAAAAACAAACCCTAACTTACATCGAAGTTGCATAAACAAAAGGGAATAGGCTGTGTAGCTAACGAGCTAACCTAGCATTAGCTCTTGTCTGTATTCTGAGGTTGCCTAGCGGCGTTGAGGTAAATGTGAGATAAATGTCAAGACGACTTTTCAGGCCTATAATAACTACAGTCCAATCACCTGCTGATTAATTTTGTCACTGTAAGTAATACAACCGAGCGGGCAGAGCTGTCTTCTTATTAGCCAACCGCCCGGCGTAAATCGACAACATAGCTTGCTATGCTAGTTTAGCTAACTAGCTAACATCAAGCTAAGCACCGATCTCTTGATAGCTGTTAACCAAAGTTAACGACATTGTCACTCCTTTTTACATGCTGCTAAAACACATGTATGCCAACTGTTAGTGTGTCAAGCGATGATACTATTTAATAACGTTATTTGCGTTCAACCTCAAACTACTATTGTGTATCAGTGGTGTAACGTTACAGTTAAATAGCCTTGCACTAACGGAGAGGACCGTGAGTGTATAATGTTTCCTAATGGCTGGCTAGCTAGCTGTATTGCTCATTTAGTAACAGCCGATGTCCGTCACATGAATAGTTAATTCGCCGGCTGTCTAGCCACCTCGCTGTATTTTTGAGCTGTGTGCGCAGTCAGCGAATTAAACAAATGCCTTTTGGGTGGCATCAAGGACTGCACCTAATTCGCCCCAAGACGCGCATTGCAGGTGCATTGCAGTGAATGCACGCCGTGAATGTTGACATAACTATACATACACTGTGTCTCCGATCCAGTGTGTGAGATCCAGGAGGGACAGGGCATTCTTGGACCTGTCAGTTAGCCAGCCGAAGAGACGGGGAACAGGATAGGGAAGCAGGGCGAGGCGGGCCCCGCGGAGCCGGTGGAGAAGATGGCCGGCAGCCCGGAGAAGAGTTCCACCGCGCAGGAGCTGAAGGAGCAGGG